TATTTGTTATAATAAAAAATAGAATATCATAGTAATAAATCATATAACGATCAATTGATGAATGAATTAAAAAAAGAGAAACGTGTTTGTTAACAAAATCTCTAAAAAAAAAATAAGAGGAAAAAAATTATAAAATTACATTATTTTAATAAACTTGTTTTAAAAAAGATAAAAACAACATATTCTTAAAGTATGAACAAGGGAGTTTTGATTTTATTAAAATAATATTATTTTAGGGTATTTTTCTCTTATTTTTTGGAAATTAGATTGATAAACACTAATATTATAAAAAAATACTAAAATATTAAAAAATACTAGAGTTTTTCTTTCATAAAGTGAACTCTAATTTTGATTAATTTAACACAAAAAACAATTATAAATTCAATTGTAAAAGTTAAAATATACCTCAATATCATAAAAAGCTTTAAATTATTATATAAAATATTAAGAAAGAAAATACATAATAGTAAAGAAAATTGTGAAATTAAAGTAAATTAAATAGAGAATCAAAGTTTTCATTTTTGGAGTTTAATAAATAAAGAAATTTTAATGCCTAATTAATCAAATTGCCATAAAGTTCATTTTATTTAAATCATATCCTTGCTTTTTGAAAACTTTTTATTTAGGTTTTAAATATTTTCTCTACATTTGAAATGATCCTTGAAATTCATATTATAAAAACCAAATTTTTAACAAATAAAAGTTAGGTACCATATTAAATATTTTTCAAAAGTTTAGGGGGTGGCTGCCCACCCCTTGTCCTGCATTGGCTTCGTCCCTGGTTCTATATCTTGATTCTTCTTTATACTAATTTTTTTTTTTTTTTTGTTCTTTTCTGATTAGAAACGCATTTATATGAGATAAAGTTGATGGATGAGTATGCCCGTGAGGTTATACATTTGATATGTCAAGAGTCATTTTCAAAATTAGATGAGATCCAGTTTGTGCAAAGTATAGCAGTGGACGCAACCTTCGAGGCTATCAAGCACGGCATCCCAGACATTGTGAAAGAAATTACAGAAGCCAATGAAAGTATATTATGGAGAAGCTCAGATCTTGAAGATTCAAATTCAAGATCAAAAATTCAAAACATATTTGCTTGTGCTGTAGAACATCGTCAGGAGGAAGTGGTACACTTTCTTTATAAATCTGCAAAGGAGGAGAAAAACATACTTTTTGACATCGATAAAGATGGAAATAATACATTACATCTAGCAGCAAAGTTACCCCCTCATTATCAATTAGCAGGTTACTTCCATGCTGCAGCTTTGCAGTTGCAAAGTGAACTACGTTGGTTCAAGGTAAGTACTTTTTATTTTATTTGTTTTTTCTAATTGAGTAGTGAGAAATATTATTCCTTATTCATATATTACTCTTTTCTAGTATATATTATTTTTTATACTATGAATTGTATATCAAATTATTTTCATGAAATTTCAATCTAATTCTAAAAATATTATATCTTATTCGTCGAAACTCTCTTGTCAATGAAGATAAGTTTGTTTCAATTAGGATAACTAATCTCTTACTGGTTTTTTAATTTTTTATTCAATGAAATAGTATTCACATTTAATCTTTTATTTATGTAATTTATAAAACACTAATTGATACATACATTAATTTAATACACTATATAATATATTTATTAAAAAATTATTACTTTTTAATTTGAAATTAAAAACAAATAAATTTAAAAATGTAGTTATGCATATAAGATGTAGAAACTAGTTAGTTAACTATATTTATATTATTTTTTAAGAGAATTTCTAATATATGCCATGAACGCACAGACTAAAGGTGCATTTACTACCCATTTTTATAATTAATTTATATTAAAAAATTAAAAAGTAACTTTAATTTTATAAACCGTTCAATTAAAATTATGGATGTGACATTGGTGATAAAAAAAGGTCAACTTTTGTGATTTTTTATAGAAATTAAATGTAAAAAGGTGCACTTACTACACTCTTAATATGTGTCTTACGTTAGACAAACTCATATTTTAATAACTGAACTGAGACAAATGTAATAAAATGTTTTAAACCGATTGTGTCCCAATCTTTATAAATACACATATATATAAAGACAGTTCATATCAATCATGATTAATTCTCAAACAAAAATTAAAATCTTATCATAAATCACGTCATTTCATTTAATTAAAATTCAATTTAAAATTCAAAAATTCATTATATTAAAATATTGATTTGTACCTTTAAAAACTAAAAACCAAATTTAAAATTCAAAAATTTACTTTATTAAATATTGATACCTAGACTTGAAAACTAATTATAATTGGATGAAACGATGATGTTGTTTAGGTTGGCCTCCTTTTTCCTTT